TGTGACATCGCAAGACCATTCGGAGGAGTACTCGGAGTCACGCAATAAGACACGATCGTCTGTCGAAGGCTTGCAAATAACAAAAAAACTACAGGGGAATTCTGAGTGTGCTTTCGCGCGCCAGTAATTGCTACAGAGTGTTCATCATCCTGAATACAAAAGCCAAGAGAGCGATGGTCGTCCTGACAAAGATGCTTGAGGAAAATACAACAATGGAGCAGAGACCATAGGGTGCGCACTTGTATAATGCCCTCGTTTCCATCGCATCCCGAACTGAAACGCGCGCGAGGTAACCACTGGACCCTGAAGAATGCTAATAATCCGGTTGTGCATGGTATTGCCCAACCACTTAACGTTTTGCAGTCAGTAACGCCTGTAACCCCTTGCTTGTACAAGAAAGTGGAACTTAGGCTGGCAGGTCAACATAAGATAGTGGGACTCGCCAGTAATCTCCTTAGCTATTGCTACAGCCAGTCTCTAAGTCAACAAAACCCCTCCTAACAATGGGCAGACCATGCTGGCTCACCTACTGGTGCGGCGCCTGAGACTCCAACGTGGGCTATAATGATCGAAGCGCCCACTGCAGCAGTTGTAAAACCTGGGTCCATGCCCGCTGCTTCTTTCTATCAACTGCACGGGCAGGTGTCTATCACAATCCCATAGACGGACCTACCTTACCTGTGTGGCGTATACCTTGACTACTCTCGGCGCAGATATGGGTTATTGCACAGCAACGACTACACCTGCTGTGCAAGCTCAATTACAAGGATGTAGATCTACGATGGCTGCAAAGTCGTTTCCCATCTATCCTGACGCACGGTAAATAATCTTCAAAGGTTAAGCCTGTCTGGAAATTAGGTATCGACTACGATTTCAGAGTGTTTTGTAGAGTTTTAATCCGTCTTCGCAAAGTTGTCATTTAACTAGCCTATGCATGTGATAGTACTTACTTGATACGGCTGCGATCATGCCTGATCTAGCCGGCCTCGATGATGTCCCGAACAGTACCTCTCCACGCGTGACGGTCTGCGGCAGCAGATCGAGACAGCTCGACCCATTCCCTTCGCCAACGACGGAGACCGAATACCGAAGGTCCAAGAACCACCTCCATGTCTTGACGGACAGTGTCGAGCCAGGTTTTGAACTGACCCCCTCTTCGACGCCTCCAATGGGGCAACGGTGCCGGATCGAGGGCAGTAACACTGAGCTCCTGAGGTGGACGACGAAGAACATGCCCGAACCACCTCAGTCGTCTTTCTTGGATGGCCTGAGTTATCCTTGCGATGTTGTCGCAGCGAGCGCGGACTGTCTCATTTGAGACGAAGTCGGTTAACTTCACTCGAAGGATGATCCTCAGGCAGTGGTGGTCAAATACCTCCAGTTTTCGCTCATCCTCCACGCGCAAAGCCCAGCATTCACAACCGTAGAGAAGGACAGACCGGACAGATGCACGGTACACGCGAATCTTAGTGGCGATGGAGAGGTCACGTCGGTTCCACAGGCATTTCCGATGGCTTGAGAAAACCCAGCGGGCAGCATCGATTCGGGAGACAATGTCGTCCTTACTCTGTCCGTTAGGCAGCAGCCTCGCCCCGAGGTATTTAAAACTGTCCACTTCTTCAAGTTGACAGCCATCAATCCCCAGGGGTGCCTTCTCCTGGTCAGGGATGCAGCTTGAGAATACTTTGGTCTTCCCAGCGTTTATGGACAAACCGACTGCTTTGGCGACCTCGTTCACCCGTGACACCATAGACTGCAGATCACCATAACTTGAAGCAAGTAAGGCGATATCATCGGCGTAGTCGAGATCAGTCAGTCGACGTCCGGGTGCAAATTCAACGCCGTCACCGTCGCGTAGGGCCCTCCCGAGGATCCAGTCAATAGCGTAGTTGAACAGTATGGGTGACAGGATACAACCCTGTCGGACGCCAGACCGAATACCGAACGGTTGGGAAAGATTGTTACGGACCAGGACTCTTGCAGTAGTGGAGCGATAGTAGGCCTTGATCATGGCGATGATTTTTGCCGGTACACCATCTAGCGCCATTATCCGCCACAGGGACTCACGGTGAACGGAATCGAACGCGGCGGCAAAGTCAACGAAGCAGACGGCCGTCGGTTGTTGGTAGCTATGGCGAAATTCGAGAATGCGCCTCAGTGTGAATATCTGATCTGCGCATCCACGTCCAGCACGAAATCCGGCTTGGTTGGGCCTCGTCCTTGAGTCACGCACAGCCTGGAATCGCCTGAGTAGGACAATAGCGAAGATCTTCGCAGCAACGTCGATGAGACTTATGCCGCGGTAGTTCTCGCATCTCGTCTTATCTCCCTTCTTGAGGATAGGTACAAGGATGCCTAAGCCCCAGTCATCAGGAACAACCTCGTCTCTCCACGCTCGTTCAATCACCTCATGGAGCCAGGGCGCCAGAGTGTCGACACAAGACTTGAAGATTTCAGCGGGTATACCGTCCTCTCCGGGTGCCTTATTGTTGCGCAACTTTCGTATGGCATCGGCGACTTCTTCCTCGGAGGGGG